AAAGAGTGTCAGTGTTCCAGAGATATATGAAACACTGACAACTCACCTTAGTACTGTGAGAAGAGTATTGATAGTGTAAACCTGTCTTATTTCCATTTGGAATAACTAGTGTTCCCTCTAGGATTCTTTCAGCAGCTGCACAGTGACAGCAGTGGGTGGGTTGGTGGGTTTTGGGGGGTAGGGGGGTATTGCCACATATGCAGGCTGTCGGAGTGACTATCAGTATGTAATTTAGAACATATTTATGGAGAACTAGTAGTAATAAATAGATATCAATAAGCTATGACAGTCAGGACTCTCCAGATCTAACATAATATGATATGATAGCCAATCACTTGTCTAAGTTTTATGTCATTTAAAAAACCTGATTAGGCACTTCGCAAACATTTGTTGTACAGACTAGCAAGTATACTTGCATCATTGGAAAGGGCTGATCATGCTGTTTATTTTGAGATATTCACAACAAGGAAATGAGTAACGTTACTTCATCAGATATGGAATGAAGAGTAATGGGTGCCCAATGGGTTGGTAGGGTTAAACTGTAATATCTATCTACAGCTCCCATCATGCTTTGGGTGACCCTACGTTGCCCTGAGCCTGTAGGTGTCACACCCAGGTCTGTTATTTAGTTTTGTTTATTCTGATGATGCGCACCAAACAAAGTCATGTTTAATTAGCTACTAGCAGTTCCTAGTTCCACTGTAACCATGTACTGGACAGACTGCAATCACCTGGGAAGGTCCGAGGATTGAAAAGGTGAGCACCAGGGCTCAACCGTGGCCAGGATTCCTTGGTTCCTGTCTTTTATTACACTCTGAGTTAGGCGTGAGTTATGTGCGTCAAATAGGGCCAAGCATCAAATACAGGCTGTGACTAGGTGGCTGTAATTCAGTTTGATTCGCCTTGGGCAAAAGGTGGGAACGCCTCATAACTGGTGGTTGTCACAAAGAGCCACTGACAGCCCAAACGTGTCTATCATGTGACTAGTCTTAATGGTTGTGCTTCCAGCGGTGATCTTTGGCACCAATACAACTTTCTCTTCAGTCACAAAGCAGAGGCAAGTTGTTAAACATGGCATCAATATTGAGACGCTCCTCTTGGAGCATGAGCCACAGTGAACGAGAGCGAGACACTGAAGAGGCCCCTTTCTCTGAGCTGACTGCTGATTTGAATATCAAAACATGATGTAAAACGGTGATTAAAAGCCAATTACAGCTCACATCAATGAAAAGTCAATTAAGTGTTTCAGACGGGCTTTTGCTGAAGTGATGAAAGGAGAAGCAAAGAACAAAAGGAAAAATGAGGAATACAAAGGAGAGAATCGGAGGGGAAGTGTCTGAGAATAAACACAGTTGGGTTAGGACGGGTGCACAAGACAACGTTCAAACGAATGAATGCTCTAGAGACAGGGTTTCTTCTCTTCCCATCATTGCATCCTCATAAATTATGAAAAATGTGCTTAAAGGCATCATTCAATTAAGAGTCAAAGGTGCTGGGGGAATGAAATGTTTTCTAACATTCCCACTATTAAGAATTAAAGTTGCTCTACTTTATTATGACAAAATACAGGGTTCCTATATATACACAGCCATATTCTTGCTACACAACAGGAAAAAAATGCAGGAATATTTTCCAGACATAATTATCTTTTACTCTCTCTACAGACAGACAGATATATAGATAGCAACCAAGCACAGAGACCTTTCAGCCATGCACTACATTCTTATTCAAATAGAGTCCTAGAGCCTCCCGTCCTGGCCAAGATTCAGTAGATTGATTGACTGTATTACCTACTTATACAGCAATGTTGAACAGTAAATATGAAAACAAAAATGTGGGAAGCAAGTTAAAATAAATCAATAAAAATGAGGTATGGTGCACAGCACAGCGGTCAGGTTTGGGATCACGCACCTGCAACTGGAGCCTGCAGGATCAGTCATGTTCACTGTGTTGAAATGCAGCGGTGGTGACATGTTGCTGCAGTCCTGAGAGACAAGGTTGAAGCTGAACGTGTTTGATACAGTGACACAATCTTTGGTCCCGACGGGCTCTCCCAACAGGAAAAATTAAATTGCTGAAAGGGAAGCTAGTGCTGCTTAACCCTGTGCTTTAATTATTGAGAAATGCCTAAACCTGCCGGCACGCACAACACTCTCGACACGAGAGGCTTGTTAGAAAGTAATGAAGAGGTCTGGAGTGAGAGAGGATCTTGTTCGAGAGGTGCCAAACTGGGGAAGATTTGGGCTAAGCTGATCTGTTGGTGCTTGCCTGCCTGTTCCTGAGTTGTGAAATCCCGAAAGAAAAGATGAGTAACACAGAAAGCCTAAGTCCGATCTTGAAATACAGTGTTACTCTACCACTTGGCAGTTAGAGATTCAACTCTCTGCCTCAATTTGCTGTTGCTCCATCCCTCCCCTCACTAATTCACAGAAATCACCCCCAGTCAACTCATGCACAGAATCAACAGGAACAAATTCCACTCATGCACTCACACGGACACAAGAATGCAACTGTAATCAAGCACACAGTGTTTACAACAGAGCATTTTTCTTCCAAGATCTGAAGCTTTGAAAAAAAGGGTCTGGCAACAAAGACTGGAGTTATTTAAAGGAAAAATTACACAGCGTATCAGTAGGGGTCACTGACACTGTGATGGCCAGATGGTCGAGTAGTCTGACTTGTCCTCTCTAAACAGCCTCTGACTCGGTACCAATTTGTTTAGTGCTGTTTTCAAAAATGAGCGCTGCGTTGCTGTACTCTGTGTTTCCTCTTCATGAAGTCAAGGCTGCCTTGGCCTCTCTCACGCCTTGAGTACAAGTAAATAAATTAGTTTTGCTACAATACACAGCTGTGATGAAACGCTTGAAACTGATGTTTATGTTTTGCTAGGCAACTTTAGTAGGGATTAACTGGTCAACTGACAGCCAGTCACAGTTGGGTACTGGACGTTAGAATAGGTTTGGTGATCGGCCAAGAACTGCTTTAACTGCTGGCACACAGCACATACCTAACATGTTATTTATGCCCAACAAGTGAGTACAAGCTCTTCATTTTATTGTTTAATAGAGTGGACCCACGCCCTCATAAACTGGTCTGGCAAAAATCAATGTTGCTAATATTATGAGAGAGAGAGATATTACTTTATTTTGTTGAGCAGTGCAGTTTGTTTTTGTTTATTGTTGTTCTTCACCATTTAAACCTCTAATAAAAACTGGCACGTAACATATGCTAAATGCATCTCAGACAGTCTCCAGTATAAATTCATTTCCCTATATGGCACAATTTTAATGCAGCAGACAGAAGCCAAAGATTTTGCTGCCTCATTGAAAATCTTCATGCACCTGGAAGTGATTTAAAACCTCAACCACCAAGCACATGAACATTTAACAACTCTGATATGTGAAAAGCTATGATTTAAAAATTAAGGGCAGGTTTCTTTATAAAGTCACAAACTGTACTTAGAGTCAGTGGTATAGGGCTTTACATTTGGTGTGCACTTTAAACTGGCACGTCTTTTTCATCTTAAAGCTCAACTAAAATGTCTTTCATTCCATAACATTCAGCGCCAGTCACTGAACTACAATCACTAGAATCAGCACCAGTAAACTCTTATCTATGCGTCATTATGACTGCTACCCCTAAAAAGGTTTGAGTTTTTCTTTGCACGTATCCAGCATCCCAGTGGTGCAATAGCGTGTGACACATACCACATAACACCCCATGTTCAAAGGACGTTTGTCAAATGTCGTTTCCCACTCTCATTCCTAATGTGGAAGTTAAAGTATGCTGAACTATCAACAGAAAACTGCCAGAATAACATTTACAAGAGATGTTATCAATAGTGTCTGGGGCATAGTGCAGCTTTCAGTAATTAGCACCCTGAAGAATTTGCATACCTGGTTTTCCTGCAGTTAGGTTATGATGAAACTAGCTGCCTCTGGAGGAGCTCATCTGGCACCTGCACAGATAGTCACTGATTGTTGTCAGGAACTATGAAACAAAAGAAGATTGTTGCATACAAATTTCTGCAGTTTGTGTGATCATGTGCACATTTCACACAAATCAAGACAGCAGTCTTTCTGGAGCTCAACTTTTGATCATCATCATCTGTTGTTCGGCCAAAATAGCTTTGATGAGAGAGGTGGGGGAACAGCAGGATGGGAGTTGTTTATGTTGGTCAAGAGGCAAATTCACTTTGTAATGTAGTTCACTTTGTAACAGTTTGGACATTCATGAGCACACAGGCAGGCAGAGTCCGGCAACAATCCCCACATATTATCAGTGGCTTTTGTGGAGTAAAAAATAAGAGGGGGGTTTACAGAGAGGGCAGTGAAACTGGATTTTGTTCCATTATGCAAAACAACAATAGCTAGAGACTCCATGTTGTATTGTGGTAAGCTGCTGAGACTGTGGCCAAAATTATTCGGCCCCAAGGAAAAATTTTGGGATCCTGCTGGGCCAAACCTTAAAAACTCTGCATGGCCATCCATAAATTCTCTTCAGAGAAGAGAAGAGTTCACTTCTAGCTGGAGAGCTCCAGCATGGTTCAGTGCCATTACCATTTGAAAAGGGAGAAGATGAGTGCAGTAGCGGGGGGGGATAGACCGGCGTACAGAAAGAAAGGCTGAAGGGGAGAGTGGCAACAGAAGAGCAGCCGACTTGTTATACTTGGCACATGGATGAGCTTCATTCGTCAACAGAGCAAAAGAGCTACTCTCTATTTAGGTTTTGCCCTTGAGACAACGCCGGTCTGGTCTGAGTTGGTATTATGCAGTTGGTGAGCATATCCAAGCTTGTGCGGGATCACCTTGGGAAAAATAATTCTCGCACTGTGTCAAGCTTATTTAAAAAATGCACTTTTACACACTTCTACAGTAAAATGAGGGAAAATACTATTAAAGCTGGGCTTTTAATTTCTTCCTGTATTGTTACTGTGTGTATTTGCTGCATTATGCATATGACCTTTGGCCAGGAAAAAAAGTGCTAACTAAT